TAACAACCAGTTTTCAGTTCATTTCAGAATCTGCAGTCATTCATCCAGCCCGAACACTTCGCGTTTTTCTCTTGACCAAGAAAAGAAAGGAGGAAAAAGGCWAAATCTGCTACTTGGCTTTAAGCACATTTTCCATCCAGATTATTGCTTCTCAATACTTTTCCCCCCAAAAAAGGAAAAAAAATCCATTTCCTTTTCTTCCTTTAGCTGCTCGATACTTATGAAAATCCAATTTGGCTCCCTCTTTTCTTTCTTCCTTCCTACCACAATTCGTGCGTTTCACCCACTCAAAGTGATTAGTGATCTGTGGCTATCATTTCCAGAGAGAATGATAACTGTGTTTTATAGAGGGGAGAGGGGGCGAGGAAGGTCCACGACTCCCCATCAGGGCTGATGTCCCCTCTTGGAGAATGGCTGGGCTGGGAGGGCAGACGGGAGCACTGCTGTTGCTTTGCAGATACAGCCGCTTGCTCTACATCACAGAGGAGACTCACTTTATCTCTCCCTTTTGCTTCCTCTTTCCCCTCCCTCTATCATTCATTTCTTTAGGTCTTCTCTCACAGGCACTGTCTATTTTCCTCAATTTCTCCAGCCCCCCTTCCCCCCACACACACACATGCACACACACTATATATCTTTTCAAGACACCCCATCCACCCCCTCAAAGAAACTCATTTCAGCTCCTCAAAGAGCCTCTTTGCGCTGAACTAACCTAAGCTAGGCTTCGTCTGCACCATTTGACAGCCTTTACATCTCAGTATGCAGAACAAAAACACACTCGCACAAACACACACAGCTTTTTTGGTGTGTACGGAGCCTTCAAAGGTAAAAGAAAAACGTTACCCTATCAGTATCCAAACACACCTAATAGTAATGGCCTCCACTACGCACGACACTGAATGCATTGCGTAATAAGGCTGGAAACATATGTTAATGCATGTCGGCTCTAAAGTAGGCGATTTAAAATGCTGAACTTGAGCCAGATTTAGCAATTAAAATTTCACTGCCACCTGGATAATTCATGGCAGACATTTTAAGGCAGACAGGGCTTTATCAAAACACAGCAAAAATAAACTAAAATCATCTTTGGTTGAGAAATGATGGCGCTAATACGGAAGCTTAGAGCTGTCACATGACATGAAATTATTTTTAAACTGGATCTCGTTATAACAAGAAAACTATCTTGTAAAAACGCGAAAATTTGTTGTTATAACAACAAAAATATCTCGTTACAATGAGAAAACTATCTTGTAAAAYGAGAAAACTATCTTGTTATATCAAGATAACCATCTTGTTACATGTTATGGTTTCTTCTAGTTTGTCACTTTCACGGCTGTTTATTGATGGCGTGATGGAGAACACGACTGAGCCACTATGCCTTTTTACGAAGAAGAAATCTGCAAGAGGAACACATTTCTAGACTATAAAATTACAAATTAAGTTAGTACTRAATAATGTTTTTGAAATAATAGCGTCTGACTTCTGATTAGAGAGTGCATATTGCTAAAGAAGTGCTACTAGCTGCAACGTCTGAGCACAAACCCAAACAATATGCGTTCTGCTCGTTTTTGTTTATATAGTGGCTCAGTCGTGTTCTCCATCACRCCATCCAGGAAATGAACGTCCATGTAAGTGACAAACCAGAAGAAACCGTAACACGTTATAACGAGATGGTTATCTTGATAAAACAAGATAGTTTTCTCGTTTTTACAAGATAGGTTTCTCTTTAAAACAAGATCCAGTTTAAAAATAATTTCATGTGACAGCTCTACACTTCCGTACATTAAAGCTGTTTTGGTCAAACTCTTTTCCACAGTTTCATGCAGCGTTGCTCAGAGTGCGTGTTGTGAACGACTCTCAGCTACCACCAAACCAAGATTTAGCTCCATATCTGTACAACTAACCACTTTTATGTTGTTAATGTGGATTAGCAGTGGCGGCCATCTTGAACGGGGCCAACTCCAAACATTAAGTTGTAGATGAACACTCAAGCATTTTCAGACACTTTCATCAAAATCCATTTAGTGGYTCATGAGATATTTAGCYAACAGACACAMCTATGAAGACACAGGCACAGCCTTTTCTCCTTTCTAAATAATAGAAAGCAAYTTGTTGTGATAGGGATAACTCGCGTGATAAATGAGTTGAGACATCATGAAGCTTCTATTCTTCTCCTAAAATTATACTTTTTTATTGAAAAGCACATTCAAAAAAAATAACCCACACTCGCAGCGGGGAACAGCCATCATCATGTCTTCTCTCGCCCAATCAAAGAGCACAATAGCCTGCCACTGCCGGGCCTGTCTTCATGTGCACCAATCAGTGTATTCATCAGCGTCATGCAGGGCAAGGGATCGAGCGGCACCTACCTTCAGATTTTCAAAAGCACAGTGGGTTGGAGCTTCTGTTCATTTGCACGCATGCAGGCGCACGCACACTCAAGACGCTCGCGCTCGCATGCCGCAGCACCTTACCTTATCAAAAACGACACATTCCAATTCTATCTCCAATAAGAAAAACATTTTTTTTGAAAGCTGAGGAGCTCTAAAGCCTGTCAATACATTCAGTAACTTCTTCACCATCCATAACAGYCCAGTAGCCAAACACATAAATAAATCATGGGAGGGTACCTCTGAGTTTTCCTAAAATCACAGAGGGTGGTGTCCCAAACAGCGGCAACAAAGAAGGAAAGAACAAAGAAGGGTGGCACTGTAAGTTTTGGTCATTTTCACCAAGCGTTTTTTTTTCTCTCCTAAAAGCAGACCAGTGGTGCCACTTGTTTTTGGGCTGTTTTCAAAAACAAAGCACTGAGTAGAGCTCGAGTTGTAACAGCATTGCTTTCATACACAGCGGGAACATCTGTTCAGGATCACATGCGGTCGCCGGCGTATGATCGGGAGCCCATTCGAGCGACGGCGTAAACAAGGCATGCTGGAAGCCGATGAACAGCCGTGGAGGGGTGTGTGTGTGTGGGGGGGGGAGGGGGGTTGCGGTGAGAACGGCCCACGGTCATCGATTGATGTGAAAGCGCATATGTGTGTAAAAACAATGACGCACACACAGACACTCTCACTCTTCCAGTCAAACTCCAACGTATGGAAAAGGGGAAAATGGAAGTGGGAGAGTAAAAACCAAATCAAACCATCCAYGAGGGGGAGTGGGAGGGGTTCACTCGGTCACATGTTCCTTAGCTCTATTACCATGACCTGGAGCTCTGCCAAGTCGATTCCAGCCAAGCGCCATCAATCATCCTCCAGTTAGTCCCTCTTACACCAGCAGCCATGATTCATATATATGTATATGTTGGTAAACACACACACATATATATATATACATGTGAAAGTTGCTCTCAGGTTCACCCTTCTTATCTAAAACAATCTCGTTATTTAACCCAAACGCGTCAGAAAAAACTGACCTTAGTTCTGTGCCTAGAGAAACAACTTCCTTCCGCACCAGATGTGGATGAGGTGAGAGAGGGATACAAAGAGGAGTGTGAGGGTGTGAGGAGGAGGAGGAAGGGGCATGATGGTAGAGCGAAGGACAACAAGAAGTGAGTTGAAAAAGGAGGCCATACCTTGGTCGCCAATCATCAGGTGTGCCAGACCTTGAAGGAAGACAAGAGCACAGTCAGCACATCAAAAGGATCATGGGGCGTGAAGTGTGTGTATGCATTGAGTGTGTTTTCGTGATGCGTGAGTTTGATCATGACATGCTGGTGGAGGCTAGTTCTTCGGTGCTGTTTCAGTGTGTGTGTGCATATGAGTCATCTAAAATTATAAGAATAAATCCACTTTGAGGACACTTACTTATAGGCACGGATCCTACGCACAAGTAAGTTTGTAACAAAGACGTTTGCACACAGCTGTAAACTAGATTGTCCACCGTACCGTAATTATATGTCTATATCTGCGTAACCTTGAGGCAAGAGCCACTTTAGATGATTGCACGAGGAATGTAGTACTTACCAGAAGTCAGCCAACAACCTCTACATACCCACACAGACCAACTTAAGCTGACTAACTTTGACCCTGGCTATTCGGTACAACTGGATTTGCACATTAGAAGATGTATTGTGCAACAAAGGCAAAAAGAAAAATGGAAACCTATAGGACTGACGTGAACTAGATGAAAAATAGGCAAACMTTTGTGCATTAGAATTAATYTGAGGAGAGAGAGGTGGAAAGGAAGATGAAAGGTGTTTCAAAGATAGGCAGATAGATTCMGGTAGTTTGAGAGGGATAACTGGACGTACCTGGAGTGTAGCTGTGCTCTGGAAAGGTGCCGCAGCCAGGCGAAGAAAGAGAAAGACAAACATTCATTAACATGCATGCTCAGCCCAAGGGTCACCATGGCTACTTACTGTACATGCACACTCGTCCAGGGCTACCGTGGAATCGGGACATGCAAGTCGACACAAACGTCACGATGGATACCATGCCGCGCTGGTAGCCAAAACTGAGGTTTGTTTCTAACACATGTATTCGAACGAAGCTGCGTTTAAAGAAATGCACAATTGTTTTCTTTTCTTTTTTTTTTTGTGTGTGTACAAGTAAGCACAAACAAGCATCCACATTTGTAGGAAGAGAGGGTGGATAAGAGAGTGGAGGAGGAGGAGGAGGA